CATCGCCATCGCCATCGCCATCGCCGTCGCCGTCGCCGTCGCCATCGCCATCGCCATCGCCAGCCAACACCCTCCGCAGGCCAGCCCCATCCTCTGCATCCTCATCCTCATCCTCATCCTCATCCTCACCACCATGGCCATCACCATCATCACCATCATCATCATCATCATTATCAACTGCAGCATCGTATCCATCTTCATCACCATCACCGTCACCATCATCATCATCATCATCATCATATACACAGTGCACCGGCGAGTGGATCAGTCAGGGCTGCATGCCCCTCCCTTTTCCTTCGGTCTGCCACGTCTCGAGTCTTCGGTGTGAGAAAGCCGTAGAACGTTGGGTAGAAAAACTATAACTATGACGGCCAAGAACTGGATGTCGCGCAGGTGCAATCACCCTAATGTATCATCTGCCCAACGTAACAAGGCCTCTGCCATTTGAAGAAGAGGCAACCTTTGGAACTGCTGCCATGGCAGGCAACCCTCGCGGCTTACACCGTCTGAACATTGGACTCGCTGTCCACCCATTCAATCCAGACACGGGCTGCAATGGAAGCCCAGAGCAAGTGGGCCACTGACACAAGCGACGACATGTCATCGACCGAGCTAGCGCCCCGGACTACTAGCACAAACCGCCTGGTTATCGATAAACCACAAAACCTCCGCTCCAGCAAGATGCTGTCTGCACTGAGAAGATGCAAACACAATGCAAGCTCTTCCGAGGGTGCAATCTGTGTTGTGTGTCTCTGGATTGGAAAGCTCGCAGCACCTCATCCGGCACCCATGCCGCACAGCCCACCTTGTTTGGCCCTGCACAAACAAGACAATCCCCAGGTCTGGCGAAGCCATCTCCGAAGGCTCAAAGCTCGCATCAGTGTAAATCAAAACCGGAGGAGTCTGAAGACCATGCACGTGCAGTGCTGAAATAAGAGGCAGAGTCAACTCAGAGTGCCCACATTATACTGGCGACCGGAAGTTGGTCCTTGGCCACCTCTGCCACACAGGCCAAACATCGCCGATGAAGCCCAAACCATACGGCCTCGCAGCCTCACCAACATGTCCCCGAATCAAGCATCCTCTCTGCATCAGCGAAAATGGTCTCACGGAGGCCCGGCTTGATGTCCACAACCATCGCACGATCAAGGGGAGCACGGGCACTCCCAGGAAGACACGCTGAGCTGCCACAGGCTGCTGCTTGGGGGGGATCGAGGCGCTCACCCATACACTTGTGAACGACATTAACGCATTCTTGCGCTGAACCATGCGACGAAGTTAACATGGAGGATGCCTGAGTCATCAAGGAAATACGTAATGCATGAAGCCGTGATGCGCCTCAGGCATGCAGTGCCCAAGCACGGGATCCGACTAAAGTTTAGGACAGCGCTAGCAAGTCCTAAGGGATAGCAGAATGCTGGGACATCGGGATCCCAGCACGCAAGCACTAAGCCGAATGCCTGCTCAGGAACATTGCGCAGCTGCCGATACGCTGCTGACATATCCTCTGAGCCAGCCGCACGCCATGCCTGGATATAATATGTCCGGCCGTCTTGTGCCGGGACAGCAGCCGAAATCTCAGTCGGGGGGGTCCAAAGACAAGCCAGATCCGCGTCAGTTATCACACCAGTTGTCCCCACCACTTCCAAGGCAGACGGGTTTAAGGCAACCAGCACTGCAGCGGATAACTCATGGCTCGTCATGCGAAGAGCAATACTATCAAAGTGGATGCGGTCCTCGCGGCCTGGGCCTCAACCGCCGCCCAGCGCGCTTGGATGGACGCACTGAACGTATAAGGCGGTGGTGGTGGTGGTGGTGTTGGTGGTTGGTGGTTGGTGGCGGCGGTGGTGGCTTGGTTTTACATGCTGCCAAGGGAATCCAAGCTGTGCGACAGGACGTGTGGTCAGGCTTCAGCCCGGTCGCTGGTGCGACGCACACAGTGCACCGTCCCAAGACAAAGTAGTATGCCACGCCGCGAACGGCCAAGAGCCACATCGAGGAACAAGCAGCTCTCCAGGTAAAGCCAGTGCCAGTGCCATGACGAGTCAACTGTACATCCACAGGCGTTGTTTACATGTGAAGAAGGCAACGGTCAATGACCCGTCAAGCAAGTGGCCTTGCTTCGTACGTCCATACCACCACTGTGGTGGTGGTGGTGGTGGTGGTGGTGGTGGTGGTGGTGGTGGTGGTGGTGGTGGTGGTGGCGGCGGTGCTGGTTGCCACTGCTGCTGCCGCTGCCGTTGTGGTGCTGGTGTCAGTGTTGGTGTCGGTCTTGGTGTGGGATGGTGTGGGTGCTGGTGTTTGCTAGTGCTGGTGCTAACGGTGGTTGTTGTAGTGGTGGTGATTGTGTGATTGTGGTGGCTGTAGCGCTGGGCGGGCGGCGCGGTGCGTAGTGATGGTTACCCCATGGAGGCATACCACCGCTACCGGGAAGCTGACAGCACAATCCTCGTCGTCGTCACAAGCATCAGCAGCGTGACCGTCGTCATCATTATCACTATAATCATCAACATCGCTGATCAAAGAAAAATGGCACCCTCATCATCATCGTCACGGCCATCACGTTGCCGGCGACGTCGTGGTCGTACGTGTGCTCCTCGTCGTCATCTCGTCATCGCCGCTGCCGCCGCTGTCGTCGCCGCCGTTGACATAATCATCATCACCACCATCATCATCATCATCATCAGTATCATCATCAGAACGATAGGTGCTGCTCATCCAACTATCACCATAAGCATCGAGCATCAGCATCATCAGTAGCAGTGGCAGCATCATCGGCGGCGGTAGTGTCGACGAAGCAGTCGTCAGGTTTAAAGCTTTACATGTGACAAGCGTTGCCACAGCCCCCTCCTCCTCCTCCTCCTGGTCCTCATCGTCGACACAACTTGTCATCCTTACTGACATCATCGTCACTGCGCAGCTACTATCATCAATATGGTTCAGCATCACTGCATCGATGGTGACCGTGCCACTGTGATGCCGACGTTGGGGGCACATAGTAACGATGATGCTGATGATGATGGTCATGGTGATGGTGATGGTGATGGTGATGGTGATGATGATGGTGGTGGTGGTGATGGTGAGAGTGAAGATGATGGTGATGGAGATGATGGCGATAGAGATGATGGTAATGGAGATGTCGATGATGATGATGATGATTACGATGATGGTGCTGTTTCTGACAACGGTGATGGGTGCAGATCGTTTGGTTGTCCGGCGATGTCATACTTAGATATGGTCAGGCTGTTGTATCTCTGTCATGCATCCCCGGCACCTCTGAACCGAATGCTGGAAACTGCCAACCCACGAAAAGACTCCTATCATTTCAATGCATAGCTCCCCCACGTTCAAGTCCTCGATTCTCGGCCTTCTCCATGGACTGAGCCGAAGGGTCGAAGACCAAGGAGCCCGACTCGGCTAAGCCTGGCTTTGATCCCACCACATTCAACCATGGAGACTCCGTTGGACACGACTGGGCCACTCCTCCTCCCACCCGTTTTCTATCTATCCAGCGATATCCAGCGGCATGGCCCCCTCCCTAAAGCCGGTACAGGGACACTGGTGTGACTGCGTGTGAAGCAGTAAATAAACTACAAATAAATATGTATGTATTTAGCGTTATCTATTTATATTTGCGGAGGTTTCAATCTGCTTCTGCTCCCGCGCAGCGTGTCTACCGTTTGTATGTCGATGCCAGGAAGAAACGGTGAGCAAATCTCGATTTGGAAAGACACCACACCAGAAACCTCGAGAGGATAATTAATTGGTGTCCTCGTCCTTTGCATGAACTCCTCTTACTTCACAAGGAAACACAGGAAAGCTCCGTCATCCCTTATCAACTACAAAAACTAAAACAAAAACTAAAGAGCTCTGATTATCTGACAATATCAGGAACACTAAATCAGGGCATGGAAATCAAGAGGACTGCTACCATCGGCCAGGAAGACATGAAATTAAATGGCTCCTGCCTTATCGCTTAGCCTCGTAACTACAGAGTGAAAACACTTCTAGTCTCTTAAAACTTTGGTAAGCTGCGACATGCGACAGACTTCCGTACATCCTGAGCACAGCTTATCTGAAATACGGCTATAAGATGTTGTTCGAGGAGTGGAACATGATTATCTGAAGAGTTATTTATGCATGCAGTGCAATTGAACTAAGTATGGTTTAGCAAGAACTGCGCTAGTAAAAACTGCTGGCCTTGGCAAGCTCAAGAGCATTCAACCGCATCCATACAACAAGAACAACAACTACCAAAAGCAATAATGCCACTACTACTACTGCTACTACTACTACTACTACTACTACTCCTACTGCTACTGCTACTACTACTACTACTACTACTACTACTACTACTACTACTACTGCAAGTATTACGAAATTTAGTATTACGGCCATTTGGTGTTCATGTCATGTTGGTCATTGCCAAAACTGCCGCCAGGCTCCAATTTTCATTCCTAGAGACTGAAACACCGAAACAGCGGCAGGGATCTGAATTTCCCAACATGCCCGACATCCTGCCATCCTGGGGGAGTGCGTACACAGAAATGTTGAGGATAGTTGATCCCTACCGGTGTGCTTTCGTGTTTGAGGTTGCCAAATGCCGTAAAGCTCAAATGTTTCCAGAATTCCCTATGCCTGAAATGCAAAATCATTGGCAGGAATCAAAGTTCACCCGCATTCCCTAAATCGTGGCATCTATTGGCAATGCGGCCATATAGTTGCTCAGATTTTGGGATCTTTTTAGGGGCTTGGTAGGAGGGAGTGAGAAGACTGTCCGCAAAAAGATATGGTTCCCCGGTGTAGGGGCCAGAGCAGAGAACGTCGTTCAAAACATATGGATGCAAGCTCAAAGGAACAGGCTTGTCATGTGGGGGTGGACAACGATCCAGTGTACTGCTTCTCGAAATTTGTCTGTAAGACAAACATCTGCAAACTAAGCTAGAAGCCCCTAGAATCCAGTACCAAGGTAGAACTCTCCGGTCGAGAGGCAATGGATCGTATCGGATTCGAGGGCAGGCATGGGGGGGCGCCGAGCAGTCCCCCAGTGATTCCGGACGCTCTCTCTCTCTTCTCTCTCTCTCTCTCTCGCTCTCTCTCTCTCTCTCTCGCACTGTTTCTCATTGTGCATTTGTCTAGCTTTCGCTAGACCCGTGCCCCGCTGTTGAAGCTGTAGCCAATAGAGTCGTTTAACAAACACATCTCACACTTAGCATCGAATGCTTGGCAGGCGACGCAAGGCAGGAAACTCCGAGTCTGCGTTGGATCGCCACAAGTGACAGGAAAATGCGTGCAATCACCCGTGGCACCCCACCGCACGTGACCGGTAGCATATACCACTCAAGACCGCCCCTGCAAGGACTGACATGGAAAGTTTTTAGAGCGCATGGGCAACCTGAACCGACGAACATCTTGTGCGGACCGTCTATGTCGGCGCTGAAGACCAGAGGCTTTGAAATCAGGACAACTCTAGCATTATTTAGGAGTCGGAGCGAAAAGCAGGTGAGCAAGCAAGAAGGAAGCCAGCTAGCAAGCAAGCACCTGTAAGCTTGCATAGTTTCCCTATCCCGGTCCTTACTTTAAGTCAGCAACTGGGATTAAGAAAAACTACAAAAGTAGCTGTTGCACTGGCCATGGCGCTTCCTGGCATCCGCTGTGCTTTCTGCTACAGCCCGCGTCGGAGATGATGCCTCAACCTTAAACTAATTGAACCCGTCCTGCCTGCTCTGCGCCCGTGGTTCCTGGCTGTAGAGCCGGGGTGAGAACTAGCAGCGAACACACTCCTTCCCTGAACCTTGCACACAGCCGGTTGCAACATCCTGCATTGAGCGGGATTGTGTGCTCTGCAGTACTCAATACCTGTTGCAGAATGCAGAAGGTTCCAAGTTGAACGTAGCTCTAAATTCACCTGGCAGAGGTCTCCGTGGTCGAGTCCATCCATGAAGCAGTGGCAGTCCTCAGAACATAGTGCACATATTGGATTCCACCGCGCGCCCTCGTGGCATCATCTTAGTTTTATATGAATTGCAGCCCACACCGCCCGACCCGGAAGATTAAGAATCGATCTGAAAATCGCACGGATCTGGTTTGGTCGAAATGCATGTTGCTCGCTGATTGCCCCTGTAGACTTTCCGCAGGCCGTCGAAAAAATAGTCGAATGCCCACGGTGGGAGACCGCAACTACCCGCGATCTAGGAATCCGGCGCGTGGAACTCGCTTCGACCAGCTGCGGACAAGGGCATAGGCCTGTCAATAAAAACGCGCATGTAGTGCTTTGACAGGCGTGGGTGAGAATCGTGCTCACTCGAAGACTCACTCATCAATACGGAAGGTCATGCTTCCTGCATCACCGTGACCTCCCACTGCTCTGTCCAAAGAGGTCGGAAAAGTTCCGTTCACTTCGTCGGCGTCCATCGCCATTGCGATCCTGGCAGTGGACTTTGTCTGTCTCTGTATCTGTGTGTCTGTGTATGTCTGTGTGCGTGTGAGTGTGCCTGCGTGCGTGATGCTTCGTTTAAAACCGCGTGAAGCAGGCAAGGTTGGCTCTACATGTCCAGAACAGACCTTGCTTCGTCAACGAACGATTCGCCTTGACTCATGACTCAAGATTCACGGTGTCATAAGATGACAGGGCCGGCTTCGTGGCATGATGACACTTGAACAACACATTATGCTACGACAACTGTGATGTGCTCTGCAACCGCGCTCCGACGGCCCTTCAAGTGGCAAGGCCTCGGAAGCAATGATAACGCCCTTGCCGCGGAACATCACAGCCTGAATCCCGTGGCTACCATGGCAGCCGGACATAAGGAGTTTCTGTCGGAGAGCCTATAGGCGTTCATGCAATCCGTGGGTTTTGCGCTTACCTTGCTTTCAGCGGTGGGTTGTGAACACTAAAGATTCGACTTCCCCTGATCGTGCATATGTAAAAACGTGTGGAGAAGAGGTACTGGCAAAGCTGGTCCAGTAGGGTGACTTCGCGGGGCGCTCCGCACATGCGGGGTCCTTCTACAGGAAGGCATGACAGAAGTCAACCAACCCTTCAACGCCTAGGCAGGTTGAGAAGCCAAATCATTCGTGAACATCAGCACAGCCTGCAACACAGCCCAACTTCTAAAGCGCAATCTTTGTCAGCCAGGAAGCCCTCAACTTATGCTCATCAGCACCTTTGTGGCAAGGCAAGTATTAGCAGATCCTGGCGACCAGACTCGCTCTACAACTTGCCTGACGCCGCGGGTCGGCATCTTCGCTGGCGCTGCGTACCAGCTGCCCGGGCGTCCTTGAAGTTTCCAAGTCTGAAGTCGCTTCAGTGATGGGATAGGGATGGATCGAGTGCTCCAGGGGTGGCGGAACGACTGCTTCGATATTGTTCGCCTCGTACTGTAGCAATTTCCGATTGCTTCAAGACTGCGCGGACTACACATGCCGATCGAGCTGCAAAAACATCTAACGGTGAAGAATACATACACAGCCCGCAGAGCTTGACAGTGACATGCAGACACAGACGGGCGAGGCAGCACAGAGCGCAATGGACATAGACATGAGTCACGAGTACGCCTGTGGAATGCACCGATGAGGCGCTCATGCTTTATACTATTCTCTGCCATTCACTGAAACAGCTATACTGCGAAACTTACTTGCATGCATTGAACTTGAATGTTGAATCAAGAGCTGGAGGTGGTGTTGACAGTGGTGGTGGCGGTGGCGGTGGCAGTGGCGGTGGCGGGAGTGGTGGTGTGATGACGAGGGTGGAGCCGGGGGTGGGCCGCGGTGGTACCGGTGATGATTACATCGATGATGATGATGATGATGATGACGGTGATGATGATGAGGATGATGATGATGATGATGATGATGATGATGAAAGTGATGAACGGGGTGATGAAGGTCGTGATGCTGAAGGTGGTGATGATGATGGTGCTGGTGATGATGTTGCTGATGATGGTGATGGTGATGAAGGTGATGATGGAGATTTTGGTGATGAAGAAGAAGATGATGATGGTATTGATAATGATCATGATGATGGCGAGGAGAAGGAAGTGGAATGACAGGCAGTGGCTACGGCTTTACTGCGACTGGCATCCGAGTGTAGATAGCTTAAAGTACGAACGATGCTTTGAGACGAGTTGAGCAGCTCACCGGCAGAACTGACTGCCAGAGGAGACCGCCAGGCTGTCGGACTTGTTCTGCCGCGCGCTTAGCGGCATTCGTGCCTGGAGCTGCATTGCCACACGTGCACCTATTGAAATGTGGACCGCAGAGAATGGCCCAGAATCAGCCACTGCTATCTAGTCGCAAAAAGGTGACTTGGACCTCAAACAAACGTGGCAATCTTCAGGTGTTCGGTTGCCGTGTTGAAGCGTCTTCGTCGGTCGTGCCAATGTGCTCTTGCACTCTGGCCGACGGGTGGAGGTCCGAGTACTTGCTTCGAACTCACCGTCTGCTGCGAATCTATCCACAACTGGCCACAACATCCTCATGAAGCGCGGGGGACATGACACACACACACACACACCATTTATGTGCGCAGGCAACTGGCTCGATACGTCCGAACGGAACTGTTCTGCCTCATCCATCTAAGCGACAGTTATTTTGCTCGACACTTCAATCGCGAGGACTTCGCTGCAAGACAGCAGAGAGTTGTGTAGCCTGGTTTTCTGTGAGTACCACAGTTTGGCTGTTTGGCTCTTTCGGCTTTGTCGTGGCTTCTTCTAAAACCCTCATGCAGAGTGACTTGATGTGCAGCTGCGCAAATTTCTAGATGCCTCTTCCGCCATTGAAAGGCTTCAGCATAGCAGTAATCTCCTTCAACCACGGCGTTTCTTGCTCTGGCGTCCCATGCCCTCTTCACGATCACTCCTTAGTCCTTCGACGACTGCTAGTTACTAGTTACACAAGAAACTACCTCATGCGAGGGGCCTGACGATCCATCAGAGGGCGCTGCTCCCGTTGGGAGACCTCACTGCAGATGTCCTGCGCGCACGCGTGGGTTGTAGCAGCGGCGGTAGCAGCAGCTGCAAGAGCAGCAGCGGCAGCAGCAACAGCTACAGCAACAGCAGGAGCAGGAGCAGCAGCAGCAGCAGCAGCAGCAACAGTAGGAATTAGAAGTAAGGACTAGGAGTGGGCGTGGGCGTGGGCATAGGCGTAGGAACAGGAGGAGGAGTCGGAGTAGGAGTAGGAGTAGAAGTAGGAGTCGGAGTAGAAGTGTACTAGAGTGGTAGTAGTCGTCGTCGTAGTAGCAG